CAATAGGAAGCAATATTTGAAGTAACATTGATAGTCAGGACGAACAATAAGAAACAACATTGGAGCACGTGACATTGATATCTAGGACGATCATAAAATTGACCAGTAAGAATTAACCAAATAAAATAGACCAATAATTCTCTTAGGATATTGGATAAATATCCTAACAAAGTTCTAATGAGAAGCCGCGACCAATGGAGTTCAACCCTATCAGGTGTGACGCAGCGCTCACCTGAAACAATAGGTGAGGTTGCACAACATTAGGGACTGAATACAGTCAGGCATTAACACCGTTTGATGCCACATTAGAGGTTTACAGGTTAAACGTTCACCGACGCCAGACTGAAGGTTCTGGGTTCGATCCCCACGAGCTAGGCTTGTAGATGCGCACTGCTAATGAGTCTCACACTAGGACGAAACAGCAATCCAGCGCTTTCAGGTTTCAAATGGTAGTCTAACATGAGTTGATTCAGAATTTCAATGAAGACCAACTTTCTGTCAATTTAAGAAGAAGCAGAAGAAAGCAACACTGTACTTACGGTTTTTTCTTTCCTGTTCTCTTTTGAATATTAGCTTCAACAAATTCTTCAGCAGCTTTTTCTGGATCACGCATACCTAGCTTTTTCATTTCTTCTTCAGTTAAATCTTTTGGGACTTCAATGAGTGTACGCAATTTTAAAGCGAAATTCTAAGATGAGAACAAAAAGGTTGACAGTCAGACAGACAGATTTAAAACAAAACAAGGATACGTAGTATTAGAACTTAGTTTGATTAATTAAACGGATTTAGACTTTCTTTTTAACAAAAACCAATGAATAAATCACAAAGAATATGTATGATAAATAAATGTAGTATTGAAATGTCACTTTTTATAGTAGATATATTGTGAATTGATAAATTATATGCAAAATATGATTAGTAATTTTTTTTTAACTCAGTAAATAAAGCGTGAATCAGTTTAAACAAGTCTGTTACACAAAAACAAATCCATGTTATACAAAGTGACGAAAAAACAAAGTAGTTATTAGTCGGTGGCTTGCTAAACAGATTCAATTTTTCATTATGAAAGTAAAAAGTTCAAGAAACAAAAACATCATTTGTGTAATAACAATTTGACAAATTGAATTACTGTAATGTTATGCTTGCTAACCAGTTGATATGCTTGAATGCTATTACGAGTTCAGCTTAGTCAGTAAACGAGAGCGAAGACAAATGATCCGGCAACACGATAGGCTACTCTAATCCCAGTGTCTCAAGGCCAAACTAAGTAGAGGAGGAAGTTTTGATATGGCGTAGAAAGTGTATTCTACAAGCACCCAGAAAATATGAAGTTGACAAGCACACAAATTGAGTTTATTTATACATGATAGAGACGTCCTTGGGAGAGCCACAAAAGCAACATACCAAAACAATAAATCACCTAATAACAGTCAAGGATTTTCCGGGTGGGAAATGTGATCTCCGAGTCAACTGAAGAACCCATGCGCTAAAAAAACAGAATCCAAAATTAGGACCTTTATCAAGTGAGTTCTGGGAATCGAACGTCCCCAACATGCATCTATTTACAAAACACTTGGTCTCAAGTCGTTGATAAAAGACCGAATTGGTTCCAACCATAGGATCAATTGACTGAAAATCAAGTCTTGTAAACACATTCCAAGCCACTGCAAAACTTTAAATAAGAATACTTTTGAATTCAGAGCATAGTGAAACGCAACACAACCTGAGACATTAAAATTGGTGATCAAAAACCACATATATACACCGCGAGCATCAATGAAAACAAAACAGTATTAGAAAATGATGATATCGAGGGGACTGGATCATATGTTTAGTGAATTGCTAGTGTATGTGAGTATGATTGGTACTTTACAAGATATTTTACACGTTTGAAATCATCAATCAATCATTGTTAGACAGCCATAGAAACCTGGAAGCATTGGACGGTCGTTTCGTCCTGGTATGGGACTCATCAGCAGTGCGCATCCACGACTCCTGCGCCTCGCAGGATTCGAACCCGGGACCTTAGGTATTGTGCGCGAACGCCTAACCATCGGACCACTGGGCCGGAACCAACGGTGTTAATGTCTAACTCTGATTGATCTACGGATTTTGCGCGACCTCTCCCATTTGTCTTTGGTAGTTACTGCCTACACCCGACAGGGTTGAACTCAATTGGTTACTAGTGACTAGCTTCGTGAGGAAATTCTCGGAGTCCTAGTGAGAAGACGTGACCAATGGAGTTCAACCCTGTTGGGTGTAGGCAGTAACAACAATGATTGATTGATGATTTCAAATATGTAAAAACACGGATCTCCAAAGCTCTAACTGAAAAAAACAAGATATTTCATTTGTATGCACTTCAACAACAACAAAAAACCATCAATTCTATTATAGTGCAGTCATTAACCCTGGAACAACCAATTAAGCAATCCTATAGTTAGGAAACAAATATTAGTTCGAGACGACAGATCAATAGATGAAGTAGTGAAACTTTATCAGTTGAGGTGGTTGGGACATATGTTACGTATGGCTAACCACCGACTGCCTCGACGAGCTATGTTTTGTGGTGTAGGAGTAGATTGGAAGAAAGTTAGGGGCGGCCAAATCAAAACATGGCACAAATACATGAAGTCATTGACAAATGGACTGAGTCATGTCGGTAAGTGTCGACTATCTGGTTGGGGTCCTGGAGATTATAGTAATCGATGGTTAGAGACCTTGAATGACATGACTCTCAAATTCTAACCTTCTGAATTCCTCATAATCTCTATCTTTCTCCTTCTAAATTTATCTCACTGAATTATACTTCTCGAATCATATCTTCGCTCCCTAATCTTCTCCATTGCTGCTAATACTTCTACTATCGCTATCACTCTTGGATTTGAACTGACAGTTACGTCTCTGTGCTGATGTGGTATGGCAACCTGAACTGATGTACGTACGTACAAAGTTCTATGTTGTAACTGACTGACTGACTGACTGTAGTCATTAAAATGCTAACTATTACTAACCAGGCGTATAGAAAACAATTAAACTGAAACATAGTTAGTTGTACTATCGCTTGTGAGTATGAATAGAGTTTTATGCAGTTACAAGGTTCTGATTATTAAGTACACAGTACTACGAAAAATATCTTCATTGTGTTCAAATAAGTCTTCAATGCAATCTAATATCAATGAATAATCAAAGTAATTTATTCGTACAACCAAAAAAAGACCACTAAACACGCTTCTATGATTATCTAATATATTTATTCTACTTTTATTTTTATCTCTTACCTGTAAATGATCATTGATTTCACGTTGAGTAAAAGCTAAACCACCACCAGAACGACCACCAGCACCACCACCCGCACTACTAGGCACTATTGAAGGATTTATGCCTCGATCACCACGTGCATGTAGTATACCACATCGATGTGGCATTAAATCTTCCATAGGATAAATAGCTCCAGCATAATAATCCATTGAATGAACAATACGTAAATATAAAATGAGAAGATCTAGTGTGCGAGCTAAATCAGGATCCGATTCTAATGTGACTGTGTGAACACGTCCAACATTACTGTTATTAGTATTATTATTGTTATTATTATTATTACTATTGTCACATACTTCACCATCTGCTTGAGTTTCCGCTGAACAGTGCAAAATGTTCAAAAACATAAAAGCATATTGATACAATTTAAAAAATATATACACAACTGAATCACCGGTGAGAATTAGATTTTTTCTTAAAAAAAACATTGATATGAAATGGCGGAGTAAAATTTGTAGCTCAGATGGATGATTGTGTTGGTAATGGTGGTGTTTGATTCTCTGAGCTGGATGTTGTTTTGGTTGTGAAGCTTTCATCATTGTTCTTCCACACTGAACAACACATCATCATCAACACAAACTTCAGACAGAATGAAGTGAAGCATTCTAAATATCTCCACGTTTAATCTGTAGCTTGTTCTGTTAACCTCAATCTTGATTGGTTGTTGTTGACCACAACCAAAACGAATCCAGCTCAGAGAACCAAACTTCACCATTACCACAACACTGACGTAAGTCCAATGTACAAATACATAACATGCAAACAGTGTGTGCGTTTATTGTAATCTCTTCCCAGGGAATATTTGTTTCGTTTTAATAATCATCGCAATATTTCATCCACGAGGGGGATACAACATAAAAATATATGTGTACTCGAAGGAGAGCTTAAATTCACAGTGAGAATCCACCGGTCAGAGTAAAACAAGTGGCGAGCCAGCGTTGAAACCTCTGACATAGTTGGTTATAAGCCGAAACCTTGAACCACAACTACTGTTCCACAAAAACATGATTATATAAGAAACAATTGGTTTTCGTTTAAAACACCGTGACACAATAAGCACATTTTACATTACAATGTCAAAGTGCAGTCACAATGAAAAGACCTCACTAATAAAATATTTGTCGATGATTATCGATAATTTTCTGATCGTGACAAAAATAGTACTTTATTGACAGCTCACAGCTCTTATTATACAATCAATGGTCGATCTGAAATGAAACAGCTTGTACAATGAATAACTTCGCAGCACATCGATTGTGTTGTACTTCCAAAGACAAGGAGAAAGGGATGGTATGGATTTATATATACAAAACAATGACTAATAAATCTTCCATTCACAAACATATTGTCAGGTCCAATTTGGTCTCGCGTGGCTGCTACGCGTATGTGGGCGGCCCACACAGTGGAAGGCTGTTACTTGAGGAACCTGAAAAGGAAGTTAGATTAGTGTTGGTCTGAGAGACCTGGGAGCGGGACGGCATAGCATAAAGGACAACTAATTGACGCTGGTCGCGTACGGCCCTTTTACGATAGGTTTTTGAAGTGTTAGTTCCGCTCTTTTTAAGAAGCCTTAACACCGAAGACGGAAATTCGTTAGGTAAGGTTGGGTGTAACATTTTTAGGATCCACCTTTTCTAATCCCTTCCCTTCCTTGTGTGAAGGCAGCATCTCTGCAGATGCTAGTTGTCCGAGCGAAACACCTTACTGCTGTCACACCCCTCCATTACAGTCAGCAGTACAACTTCGCCCTCAGACCTTGAGTAGCAGCTGTTTTTGGTCTCATCATTTTCCAATCGACCTGCCTGACATGTTAGTAGAACCTTCACGAACATATATTCCAGCCAATATAGTTAGGTTGGGTCATCATGTGATAGGCAAACCCGATCACCACCACCACCACCACATCAAGGTAGCAGCTACGGGGTTGGAACGCACAAATTGTAATGTAAGCAACAATGAACAATTAATATAACAACAAATACTTAATAAAAACTAACCTATCAGTGCTTCTTCTTCACTTCCACCTTCATCAACAAGATAATCAGTCAGATTTTTAAGTAATGGATTTTTACTTTTAATAGCCATTTCTAAAGCTGTATCATCATAACTGGTCTTCATCAATTCTATTGAATCACCATTTAATTTCATCTTATCAATAGTATTCAAATCATTTGTACTATCAGGAATTTCTAAATGATTCCATAAATTGTGTTTCGCATCTAAACGTGCAACAAGTTGAGCGGACAAGAGTAAATCTTGTCGCATCACTGGTTTATGTCGTGTTAGAGAAGTAAGAGGACGAACTCGCTGCGCCAAATCACGATTGACTGTAGCACCAAGTTCACCATTTGGTAGATCCAACTTTTCACGTAATAAACTACTAGTATTCAATGCCCAACAGACTTTTTTAATATTCACAGAAGGATCATATGTAGCCCATGCATGTCGCATAAATCGACGTTCAGGAACAGGTTCCCACAAAGCTAGTCTTATGAAACCAGGTTGAGAAGCGCAAAGCTAAAAAAAATAACAAATATAATCATCTAACTGGGTAACTGATGAAAATATTATGCAACAAATTACACCTTATGCCGAAACACTACAACTCAATATCAAAAACTACTCTCATAGTAAATCAATAACTACTGAAATAAAATATGCCCAAGATTATTGAGGAAATTAGATCCAACTACAAAGCAAGTTTGAAGTATTTCCCCACTACAGCAAATTTCTTATGTTTACTCTCTATCACCTTGTTAACTAATAACTGTGTCACTCAACACACCTATAAACTCAGCATTATTAGTACAGCTTGTATTTAATACAAAAAGGAATCATCACTAGCATGTTATTATACACAAAGAATTCATTTGCGCAAACTTCATTTTGTGTAGTGAAATGGAGAGTGGACCGATTGTAAGCATCCAAGTTTACAACAGTTCACATGTTAAGTTTGTTTACATTCCGGATTTATGCTCATTGTTCTATTCGGTTTATTTTTTTTGCGTATTCCTTTATACTACTACTACTTAATATTCAGTAACCAGTTACAAGTATTCGTCAACAGATGTGTGTACACGAAATACTTCGGATCCGTTAGCTAGACACCATCATAAACAATCTACTGTGGGAGAGAACAAACCGGATTCCAGTGGAGGAAGAAGCCAGGGAGAAGAGGTGGACACACACTGCGGAAAGCATCCAACTACATCACAAGACAAGCCCTCACATGGAACCCTCAAGGTGAAAGGAAAAGAGGAAGGCCAACGAACACATTACACCAAGAAATAGAGAAAGATATGAGAAGAATGAACAAAAATTGGACAGAACTGCAAAGGGTAGCCCAGGATAGAGTAGGCTGAAGAATACTGGTCGGCGGCCTATGATCCATTGGAAGTAGCAGGTGTAAGTAACCAGTTACATTTCTAATCATTCATGGCTTCATATTGTGCGTTTATTGTTGTGTAATATTCTAAAGCATTTACATAAATCAATAACATTTACTGTATTAATTATTGCAATCACATCCCTTCTACAATAATCATCTCCAGTTTTCATGCATTTCTCGAATATATTTTCTAACGCCACAGTTCTCATAGTTATGTGCTCTCAACCTTGTCAACTTCAGATACAGCTATTGGCAAGTGTTTTATGCTATTGTATGTTGTAACTAATCTTCATGTTGTTGTTATCATAGGAAACGTTTGTCTTTCTAAACATACAGATGCGCTAATTGCCGCATACACCTTACGAGTTGAGGTTTGTAACCAACTTACACATATTTCTTAATAATAGAACCGTTCTTCTGTCAATCTGAGTCAACTTTAGCACCGCCGTGACATTAGTCTGTCTGTAGAAGGTAAGGGCGGTTTTGCTCTATGCTTTTGAAACTTAGTCTTATTGAGGTGAAGATGTTAAAGACAACTCTGTATTCACTGATTGTGATCTCCTAAGGATCGCTAACATTCAGTGACATGTTAGCTATAGAGGTTCGGTAACGTGCGTTCGTCCACAGTGATAACGATCCAATTGATGTCACTATCGTGAAACATCGACCTCGGTGGCTTGGACGTGTACCATGAATGACAACACCATAGAAACTTCGATAAGGTGGATTGTTTGAAGACCCTGGGATTGGTTGGAGAGAAGTAGTTTGTTTACATAATGTCATAGTATCAAAGAAAACTGTACAGGACTGAAATCTGTCGGTCCTTTACGACGCCCTAGATGCGATCCTAAAAATAATCTATAGCACAACTAGAAAATTATCCAAGCAAATTTCAAAGTAGTACACGTACTTGCAGTATGAGTCGTAACAAAAAAGGTTAGGGTATTGAAGGCATGGTTTTATAAATGAATGAAATGTTAAGCACAGCACACCATGATAAATGATAACATAAATAGTTGACTTTCTCAGCTGTACATAACCTCGTCTAATAAAACGTTTATCTACCTGACAAGATTTTTATACAGGCGAATCAGTTTCACATCATAAATCTACGGGTAAAATATGTCTAAACTCACAATTTTATCCGAATAAATTTAACACAAAATATGTCAAGAATATAATATAGATATTTTCTCTAACAACGAGAGATAGATAGATAGATACACGATTTATCAATTTAGAACAAACCTCTTTAAGTTCACTTTCCGTAATAGTTGGAGGTAATGCACGAAAGAATATAGACGCAGTTTTATGTAATAGTTTTGGTGGATTTGCACACTTGGACTGAGGAGTACCAGTTGTAGTAGTAGGAGGAGGAGGAGGAGCAGGAGGATCGTTAAAAACTGGATGTTTAACAGAGGTATCATTGACCGAGGAGCCAATAATCATTGAAGTAACCGTAGAATCTTCATTTTTACATCCTTGTGGAGACTCAGCAGTTGTAGGAGTAGGTACATCGTCGTCGACGTCGTCGGCGGCGGCGTTTTCGTCAGCTTCCGAACTTACAAGGTCATGAATACCAGTGAGTTCCACTGTAAATTAGGAGAAAACAGTCATTTGTGCTACTTTAACGAAACGGTATTTAACAACTTGAGAAAACTACTATATACATTCATCATATCAGGGTTTTGTCATGAATAAACACACACACACACAAACACTGTAGACAGGAAATAATGGCATTCAAAATGTGCTAATGTGGTATGGCAACATGAACTGTTGTACTTACTCATGTACAAAGTCCTACGTTGTAACTGACTTACTTTATAGCCTAGCCCAAGTAATTGTTGGCTCAAGCTGCCTTAACACATCTCCTAGTTTGTTAGTTAATTTACTCTACCTGAATTCACAATAATTTTATCAGCAAAGATGTAATTGTCAATTCGAATCCCATAGTAAGTAGAAGTAGTGAAAGTATTAGCAGTAATTGGAGAGAATAAGGTTCGACAATATTATTCAAGAAGTATAATCTAGTGAAATAAACTTAAAAAGAGAAAGATAAAGGTGATGAAGTATTCAGAGGATTAGTATTTGAGAGAAGCCAAAGAATGGATACACCTGCGCCATTGACAACGGTTTTGAGCCACGTACTGGAAAAGTACATTTCACGTTTGAAAGGTGAACATTTTCGAAAAGTTGATGACATTCCTATGAGATTGTACAGTCAGTCAGTCAGTTGCAACGTAGAACTTCGTACGTATGTACATAAGTTCATGTTGCCATACCACATTATTAGCACAGAGACGCAAATGTCAAATCAAATCCCATAGTGATAAAGATGGTAGAGGTATTAATGTTATAATAAAGAAGACTAGGGTTTAAGATATTATTCAAAAAATATAATTCAGTGAGATAAGGTTAGAAAGACAAATGTAGAGGTGCTGGCTAATCCAGAAGATTAGGATTTGAGAGAGCTCAAAGAGTGGATGCACCTGCGCCATTGCAAACGATTTTGAGCCATGTCGTTCAAGGTCTCTAACCATTGATGACTTTCGTCTCGCGGACCCCAACCAGGTAGTCTACATCTACCAACATGACTCAGTCCACTTGTCAGTGACTTCATGGATTTATGCCATGTTTTGGTTTGGCCGCCCCTAGCTTTCTTCCAATCTACTCCTACACCACAAAACATAGCTCGTCGAGGCAGTCGGTGGTTAGCCATACGTAACACATGTCCCAACCACCTCAACTGATGAAGTTTCACCACTTCATCTATTGATCTGCCATCCTTACCTAGTATTCGTTTCCTAACGACAGCATTGCTTACTCGGCTGTCCCACGGTATACGAGCAATGCTTCTTAAACATCTATGATCGAATACTAGTAACCTACGAACATCTTCTACTCTTAACGGCCATGTTTCACAACTATATAAGAGAACGGAACGAACTGCTGCGCAGTACACCCGCCCTTTGGTTAGAGAACGGATATCACGCCTACGCCATAAGTGACGCAGGTTGGCAAAAGCCAATCGAGCTTTCTGTATCCGAGCTGAGATTTCGTCAGTCACCAGACCGTCAGCACTGATGAGACTCCCCAGATAAGTGAAGTGATCTACACGCTCGACTACTTCACTCCCTATCACTAGTTCACGTGCCGAAGCAACCCAGTCTTGAAGCAACATTTTGCATTTCGAGGGTGAGAACCGCATCCCGAACATGCTTGCATTGTTGCTTATGGTAGTCAGAAGACTCTGCATTTTGTCAGCGTCTTCACCGAATAGAACTATGACATCGGCATATTCTAGATCAGTAAGCGACTTTCCTGGTAGAAGGTCAACCCCTGAAAAATCTGACGAGCTTAATGTTAACTCTAAGAGGATGTCTACGACAAAGTTGAACAAGAATGGAGAGAGTGGACAGCCCTGACGGACACCACTTGATGTAGAGAATTCAGATGACAGTTCGCCATAAGCTCTCACCCGACCAGTGGTGTTCGAGTAGAGTGCTTGTATAAGGTTAATGTACTTCTTTGGTACACCTTTCAATGACAGACACTGCCACAGAACCTCACGATCCACTGAGTCGAATGCCGCCTTAAGGTCTAGGAACACGACTATTGTCGGACGCCTAAATGTGTGTCTGTGTTCCAGGACCTGTCGTAGTGTGAAGATGTGGTCTATACAACCACGTCCAGGTCGAAAACCAGATTGGTTTTCTCGAGTCTGCTCTTCGCGAGCTCTAGTTAGACGTCTAAGTATAATCGAGGCTAACAATTTAGAAACTATATTAGTTAAACTTATTCCCCTGTGATTGTCACAAGAGGACTTCTGTCCTTTCTTGTAGATTGGGACAATTAGCGACTGAGACCAGTCAGATGGGATTACATCCAGTTCCCAGATTCTACCTAGGATCTCGGTCAGTTTAACCGTTAAAACTGGACCACCATCCTTAAACATCTCAGGGGTAAGCCTATCGGGACCTGCCGCTCTACCTCTCCTTAGATTTCCTATAGCTTTCTCAACTTCATGTAAACTGGGAGGACTTAAATCGATTTGCCATTCAGGATGACTGGAGATCGTGGGCAAGCGAAGAGTGGCTGAAGGCCAGTTGAACTGATCCCTAAAGTGTTCTGCCCATTGGTCCAGCCTCCTAGATTGAGAATGGATAATAAGACCATCCTTTTCCGAGATAGTCTCACTTACATTCGGGTTCCTAATACCGGTTTCTTTGATAAGGCGGAAAAGTTGTCTAGTGTTGCCTATCGCCGCTGCCTTTTCCATCGCTTTTGCTTTCGCCACCCACCACTGTTCACGGTCGTTACGTAGGCTTTTTATAAGTCTGCGCCTAAGCTGACTACGCTCTTCATCATGTTCAGAGTCAGGTGGGATGCGTTTCCGAGCATCCATCAGTTCGGTGGATGCGACTGAAATCCACTGCTTCATCCTAGCATTATGGTTTACCTTGCTAGCAGATACCATTGCTGTTCCTACAGCCTTCTTGATATGATTCCAACCTGCTTCAGGATGGGAATCACTTGCATGGCCGCCTAACTGTTTTTCTAGTTCCTCCTGAAATATTTTCTTAGCTTGATTATCATCAAGTAAAGCCCTAAGAGGCTTCCTTACGGTGTCTTTCCTACGTCCAGCAAGCCTCAAACATATACGTGCTCGCACTAGGGCATGATCTGAATCTAAACATGTGCCCCAGAACGAGCGACAGTCCTCTATCGAACCCCTCCATCGGTGGCTGATGGCGATATGATCTAGTTGCGTCCAACGTTGAGACGACTTCGGGGGTCGCCACGTCAAAAGATGTTTTTCCTTATGCTTAAAATTAGTGTTTGCTAGAAATAGTTGGTTATCTGAGCACAGTTGCAACAGACGGTCGCCATTGTCTGTTCTTTGAGCCGCGAGACCGTAACATCCACCTAGGTGTCTTTCATTTTCACTTAGTCTACCTACTTGTGCATTGAAGTCACCAGCCATTATAACTATATCAGAGCGCTTAACTTTTTGGAGGAGGTCCGAAAGCTTTCTGTAAAACTCATCTTTTACATCATCTGGGCTGCAGTCAGTGGGGGCGTAGGCTGATATGACGAAGAGGCAACGGCGAGTGTCCCTATCTTTCCGAGTCCTTACTGTCCCGTTCAGTCGGACGGCGCACAAGCGACTATCTACAGGGATCCAGTCAAGGAGAGATTGTTCTGCCCTACGACTCAATGCTATACCTACACCGGCGAGGCCCCTAGAAGCAGCATCAGGGCTACCGGATACACGAAGGGTAAATCGAGCTGCTTCTTTATCTTGACATGGTGAGGTCAAATGAGTGATGCTACTCGGATCCTGTATGCGCGTTTCCGAGACGCAGCACACATCGATGGAACGAGATTCTAAAGTCCTAGCTAATGATGCTTGTTGCCCTATTTGACACAATGTCCGTACATTGAATGCTCCAACATGTAGTTTGGAACGGGGTTTAAGGAGACCAGGAACGACGTTTCGCAAACTCGCATCGTTTGCATTAGCTGTGCACTGTAATAAATGAATGTGAGAAGAGTTAGTTGTGGAGATAAGAGAGGTGTTAGGGAATGTTGGAAGAATTTGATTTTGAACAATTTTGTCCCGTGTGCTGTTGCGGGTATGAGGGCGGTTATCACTTCCCGGCTGCCCACACCGTGGAAGGTTGTTTCTTGACGAACCTGAAAAGGAAGATGGATTAGTGTTGGTGCGTGACCGCAGAGTCCAAGAGACAACTGCTTGAGGCCGGTCACGCACGGCCTTTTTATGAGAGGTATTTAGAGGATTAGCTCCGTTCTTAAAGGCCCTTAGTGGGCACCCTTACCCAAGGAGACGGAAATCCGTGAGGTAGGGGAGGTGTGACATTTTTAGGGCCGACCTTTTCTAACCCTTCCTTCCTTGTCAGAAGGCAGCATCGCTGCAGATGCTGGTTGTCCGAGGGAAACACCTTACTGCTGTCACACCCCTCTGCAGTCAGCAGTACGACTTCGCCCTCAGACCTTGGGTAGCTGCTTTTAGTCTCATCGTTCTCCAATCGACCTGCCTGGCATGGTAGGACCTGCAGGAACATGTGTTCCAGCCAGTATAGCTCGGTTGGGTCATCACGATAGGCAAGCCCGACCACCACGTCAAGGTAGCAGCTTCGGTCGGGTTCCTATGAGATTGTACTTAGGCTATTGTCTGAAATACAGCTACCCGTCAAAGTTTATAAATCGGTATAAATATCAGTTGACACCAAAACTTTCTAATTCTGCAACGATGAAAAGGGGTCTATATCGTTTTACCATTGAGAGGAAAATCGAAAAGTAACGCTTTGAGACACAGATTGAAGGCAAATATCGAGAAAACATTTTACGCTGCTAGACTGGTTTGGATTGTAAAAGACTGAGCTCATGATTCCATATGAATCCAGAAATAGTACAAGCGATTACGTCACATTCCATTGCATACATCACCTCGCATGTTTGTGTGGAAGGAAGGAGTAATCCAACAATACAGTCGAGTTATGGAACATGGCTTTAGAATCAGTTAGCATCGAATGCTCCGATTAACGTGGGAAGTTTGCATTAGCGATGCGGGGTGATAAAAGAATGCGAGAAAGGTTAGTCGTGGAGATAAGAGAGATCTTAAGTGTAGGAAGGATTTGATTGTGACCAATTTAGTCCCGTGTGCTTTTACGGGTATGAGGGCGCATGACACTTCCCGGTTGCCCACACCGTGGGTGTGTCTAGAAGATCCTGAAAAGGAAGGTAGATTAGCGTTGGTTTCAGAGACGTGAGATCGTGACCGCAGAGCCCAAGGGACAACTGCTTGAAGCCGGTCACGTACAGCCTTTTTATTGGAAGATATTAAAGTGTTAGCTCCACACTTTGAATGGCCTTGCCGCTAAAGACAGAAATCCGTGAGGCAAGGTGACGTGACATTTTTAGGGTTGACGTTTTCAAACCCCTTCTTTGTGAGGAGGCAGCATCGCTGCAGATGCTGGTGGTCCAAGGGAAACACCTACTGCTATTACACCCTTCTAAAATCACCAATACGACTTCGCCTTCAGACCTGCAATCGATCTGCCTGGCATGGCAGAACCTACATGAACATGTTCCAGCCAATATAGCTAGGTTGGGTCATCACGATAGGCAAACCCGACCAACACGTCAAGGTAGCAGCTACGGTCAGAGGCGTGGGAAGTAGGGAACCACGTTCACCATTAAAAAAACATAATTAAAATGGGTCATAGAATCGACATTAAAACTGTCCAGAACGAAGTCTCAGTCCTATAGAAGCCTTGGCCATTCCCGAACTCAGACCCCTCTGTTTGTGCAAAGCAGCAATTTGTCGTTGAATTCGCCCTGGTGATCATTAAGTCATTTTATGATCAAGGGTAGTGCGACTATTGCTTATTCTTTTCTTAATATACTCAATTCCTGTTTTGATTTGGCACCAGAAATGCACTTTCATGAGAAATGAGATTGTGATAAAATGAATAAGTGATAATTTATTGAGTATGTCGCAAACTACCATAAAGTAATATCAATAAATACCTTATATTCACTCGACCGAAAGCAAAACATATCAGAGATATTTGTTTGTTTGAAATGAAACAAACTGGCCAAATGATGGAGATAAGTGTTTAAGCAAGCACGATCATGCAACAGAAGTGAATTAAATAATATAGGTATCAAATGGAAACAAGTTAATACAATCGTTGGTCTGAAGGTGGTTTATAAGATTTGTGCCTGTAATATGATAAAACCTTTAACTGGAGATCTTGAGTAGCTATTACGTTTGACTGCCGAAACACAGGTATAATTAATGATGAACATTTACCCCAGACTACAACTACTAGTAGCGTCCAGTTAACTTTATGCAGATATTATTACCGTTATTATCAGTTCGTCACTTTTCAAAGAATAGTGTAAAAAATTAAATGATCACATAGAGTTACACTTACTGCTTTTCGGCTTAACTTCATTTTTGGATTCAGTCTTTTCATCCACTTCGTCATCGCTTGAAGAACCACTATCACTATCGCTACTCTGACTACTCTGTGAACCAGCTGAATTACCAGATTTGTTTGATTCAGTTCGTGTACGTCGGTTAGTTGTTCGACACTTTGCAGCAGGAGAACCTTCAGTGTGGAGAGTTTCTTGTGGTGCTTTTCTCGGAAGTCCTGAGTTAGGCTTCTCATGGTCAAAGTCGTCATCGGATTCAGCTTCTCCTTCACTTTTATTTTCACGAGAAATCGGTCCAGAAGACTAAAGAGATAATCATGAAAACTTCAAAAAAAAGTCTTCACAAAACTATGCGAAAAGAATGTATAAAGTTTGAAAACTACAAAACATTCATTTTTCTACGCATCCAATGGAATTTGAATTCGATTAAGTTCGAAAGGTAAGTATGGGGCGTAAATACATAGAAATGAATCCTACATAACCCGAGCAGTAAAAGAACCATCCAACTCTCATATTAAAATCTAACACGTTATTCCTCACTTTGAAAAAGAGATTCAGAAATATTTATTTACAACAGCCTATTGAAATAGAGTGGTTTTTAATCATCAAGTCCTAAAGATAACCCTATCAGGTAAATAAATCCCTAAGTTAAACAAGATTAATAACAAACCAAAAGTAATGTTACGAAATCTGATGATATACTACGCATAACAGTCAAAAACTACCCACCTGAGATTGATGTACTAATTCTTCATCTGAATATTTATTACGATCCGATTCCTCGAGTACTTTTAAATCTTCATCAGATCCACCTTCAAGTTTAATAACAACAGCATCCATAAGTTTGATGAGATTCTCGCTATTGTCCATTTGAACAGATTGATTTTCAAGAAAGCCTTTATTTAAAAGCTCCATGAAAACATCTAAACGATGTTTGACTGCTGCACTAAGAGCTGCTTTTCTTTCATTCATATAATCAGGATGATAACGAAGACGAAGCCTATGCAAAAATACAAGCGTTATATAAGTGTATTTTTATGAAAAGGTTTGCTGCTAAATACGGAATAAATGAAAAGATATATTCAGCAGAAGATACAGTTTTTAACCAATATGGATTGTGATGAGTGAACATTTAGGCAACCAGTATTGTAAAAGACAGATGATATATACTAATGATTCAGGTAAATGTATGGTTTAGGTGTGGATGTCTGTACCCGGTTTTTGGTAGTTTTGAGATAGCCTAGGGTTGAAAAACACGACTTACAATCTTGGGGAAAATTTTCAACTACTTAAACCCAAAATTGTATCAAATGCTTCAATGACGCTGAATGCATGATTAAGATATAGTAAGTAAGCATGCAAAGAGACCTTAAATTACCAAATATTTGCACAAGTTAATTGGTGAAATCATATTACTAAGATTTTTCCTACACCCACAAGTCAATTCAAATAATATTCCATAAATTTGATACTTTTGTAAGATTACACATGTATTACATGAAATATTGCCCGAATTCTATACAAAAACTACAAAAGTAATTTGGATTTTAGTAAGTTGAGTATTCAGGTCACTTTTGAACGAATAAAAGTGATCTCAATGACCGAGTTTATAGCAAATTAGCATAAAACTCAGAATACTTTTAAGTATGACACATCAGGAGGATGAAGTTTGTAATTAAAATGAAAAAAAGCATCGTTTGTTCAGATCTAATATTACCAAAGTCGACTATCATAAGAAAGGGAACTGTCTTGAAGCACTTATGTATGAGACTTTCAGTAGTTTTACAGAAAAGCAACAGATAAATTGTGAAACAACCTCACTGCACTATACATCGAAGAAACGATTTCAAAGTTTTTTATTGATGACTAATGAAGATATGGTATCTACTCATTAATAGCTGTTAAGTTACATTACCGATTACCACCCTTAGTTTTTTGAGTCAAAACCTCGTAAGTTCTATCAACTCACTTTGTCAACATGACTTGGTTGTAACTGCGATATCGACATTATGAAATGCTACTTAACTTAGCACTAAACTGAAATTTTATTGATAACACTTAACAACAACGAAACTTGGTATTTGAAAGATAAGTTAGACAGAAATCATTGCATACGGACTTACCATTCTTCATTTTTGTGTGCATCAAAGAATTCTTCGGTGTGACGCTTCATATAACCTTCTTTGTACTCCTTATATTTAGTACAAGCCTCCTCTTCAGTAATCAAGTCATCCAAAGGATCAAGAAACCGCTTAAACGGTATAACTGGGGGTCTGTACATACCATCATACTCTGAGGTATTTGAACTTTTGGTATCCTTTCGTTGGTATGAACTTGGTTTGTAATCATCGCTGTTATCTTTACGAAGTCTTTTATAGGGAGGTTCTGCAGGTGATCGTCCACTGTCATTTCGACCTTCACCAGACAGACGATGATCTTCTCGAGCTACTGCTACCCCTGCAGTACCTGATCGATCGTCAAATGGCTCCCGTTTATCACCAGGACGGCGACGTCCATCGTGATCACTACGTTCACGACGAAATTTGTCACGGCTACGACGGCGATCGGATTCTTCATCGGAATCTGCCATGTAAAATCTGAAAAATAAAAGACTCTTGTAAAGACTTTTCAGAACTTAAGCCCCTATTAATTACCAACCACTAAAGTCCGATGGTAGTAGTACATTAAGCAAAGGTATGGACAAGTTAACTCACCAAATAAGATGCAGATGTAAACTGTATTAGCGCGATGCATGTTTATGGTTATATGTGTGAACTAGTTAAAAACGACGTTGTTATGTATAAGAACTCGAAACTCGAGAGTAATACAATCCTCTCTGACTGGAGACACTGTTAACATACCTTACGAGGGACAACCCTCTGGTTGTTTATCTGAATCCCATCAGCAGATTTAAACAAGTCTCAGTCGCAATACCATTGAGGTAAAAATGATGATTTCTGAACACAATATCCCTGATATTTCATAAATATTCGACTATTTCACGAGAAAACTCATCAGGAGATTTATTATCTTATTACGCACTACTGAGATTACATAGAATCTAGGACGTAATTATTAATCATTTAACATTTTCTTTTCTTCCAGTGGCTTCACAACAGTTCTTATGAAAGTAAGGAAGAGATTAAAAGATCGTATCTTCTTTAATAGTGAAGACTACTGGTTTTTCTGTCAAAAAAACAATTTTTATATTACAGTGACGAGAGAGATTTTAGTTTATTACAAAGAACACACAAGATAAAGGAAAATCTGAATAAAACAAATTTAATGGGAAATGCTCATTAATACAATATGAACCAACGCAAACACAATTCTAAACACGTTTTTCTAGCTAATCATTTCGAACGGTCATTAAACTTCCTCCAGGTTCATGACCTCACTCTCAGGATACATGTTCTGATTTACAACTTAAAACTGATGCTAACCTGCAGGGGCGTAAGTGAGTGACTCCCTAAAATATTGAATAACCCTGTATTCATATTCAACGTCTCTAGTTAATTTCTTCCGAACTCGTAAGTGAAACAAATAAAACAAGTCCATAAATCATTCTTCGAATCCAGCTCGCGGGGCGTGTAAACGCAAACTTATTTAACTTGAGAATAAATATGGGGTGAGGATAAGTAACCTTCCTAAGTAAGTAGATTTATGCTGATTCGGTATTTATCCTAAGCTTCTTACTTTCGACAGACACTTTTTTGATGACATTCAAGCAAACATCGTGAACATATTTCAATATAACCGTAACGGGACGCCCAAACCATCAATCAGAAATTCAGCTTGCTGGGTTGACAATCATCATCTACCCTTACTTACTACAATTTATGTTGCTTCTTTCAATAAGGATAATCACTATTCTTGCTTTTGTGGTATATACAACACTTGGGAGAGCTTGAAGTTATCATCGCCCCATCCTGGCACAAGCCTTCTTAAGCTCTAAGGATTCTTAAGTGCATGTGTGTCTCAGTGCTCAAGCGTTTGTGACGCGACGGTACTCTCGCAAATTCACAAGATGAACTTTTTCAAATTAGTTAAGCCTTAGAATTTACCCGTGTTGGACAGACTGTCATCCTAAAATTTGCTAATTGTTTTCTGCGTGTATTTTTGCAAGTAGAAATTAGCAAAGATGTTCGAATTCATAATTATCCACCTATTCATTTATATTCCCGACTACCTTAGGCAATGATTTCTTAAAACATCGAATAGTTCATACGTATATTTTAAAATCCATTTTGGTAAGTCCCTAGGTTAAAGATGAGGACATCTCTCCAGCTGTGGGTCTAATTTTTCTGTGGTATGCCCACATTTTCACAAACTTATTTCCATTTTAAGCATTTTGGCTTGCCGCATTATTTACAAATACTAAATCTTCGCCAACTCCTTGATGTTGTTTAGCTTTTCGATGATTGTTTACCATTGCTTTACGTAACAACGTCTTTTGAAGCTCTCTGTCTGTCAGTTGTGACTGTGTGAACCACTCTGTCATTAATAGTGACACACGTTTTAGAAACATTTTCTGTTGATAACTGACAGTACCTTGCTGGTAGGTAATCGCTCATTGTTAGAGTGATGTGAATTTACTTTTTGTGTTTCTTTAAGTAGAATGTTACTTCTTGACTGTTAGGAATATTTTCCGATTGTAACAAATGAGTAACTATCCCGGTCGGAAAAATTACTGTTCAGGTGTTCATTCCAGTCATATATATAGTGATGAAGCCGAACGGTATAGTTGGAGTCAACTATTCACAACATGATATAACTATCACAGCTCACTTGCCGTTTCTCTCTTGATCTTCCGTCTCCTTTCCTTATGCCTGGTGATTGTAGACCATTTAAGAACCACACTACAGCGACTCACTATGTCTTTCCATATCTGTAGTTTTCTTCTGTAGCTCATTTTCCATCTGCTCTTCTTTTTTTGCTTTCTGTTCTGGACAGAACCTTACACATTTCTTCCTATATCCATTTCTTCGTCACGATTTGTTTTCATTAACATTTCATGGGTAAGACGTTTATATGACTCTCATTCACTAGACGTTTCTTGTGAAACTGCCAGTGTAGATTTCGTGTGTGGGTAGGATTTCTGGCAGCGGCTTATAAGTCTCTTTAGAGTCTAACAACGGAGTTACCAGTTTCTTGAATCTGGTGACTGTGTCGAAGATATGGACATAAACGGGAAGTCTGTTCCGCAATAAATGGTACCATGTTGCAGAGAAATTAAGATTCATCTAGTTTTTGTGTTTTGCAATTAGCAATGTATATTCGTTGTTTCTAAGTCGGTACTCAGGATTTCGACAAGTACAGAAGAGGCATTATTCAATTCGATTACAGGTTTTTCCTATCCGATGGTCTTTTTCGTACGCGCGAAGATAATTGGTCAGCAAACTCCCAGGTTTCTTAAACAGGAGTATAATAGTTTCGTCAGGATACACACTGTTCACTAAGTTTGACAAAACTCTATCATCACCCATAATTTTGTAAGTTCCTTATTGCCAATCATCAGTTTTTATTTTCACACGCACTATATCGACCTACCAATCATTCTATCTTGCTATCCACTGCCCATTTCTTACTCTTGTGCCCCTAAATAGATAATTAGTGTCTTGCGTAGACAACTTTTTATAAACACCTGTTTCTTGCGGATGATAGCTTTCGTAGTTCTCGAAATGTTCTTTAGTTGTAGAAATAGTGCCTTTGTTTTGCCAACCGTGCCTTTGCACCAGCGTCAGATCCACCCTGTTTATCAATGATGCTTCTCAGACTTGTAAAGTTTTACACACCTTCCAAAGCTTCTCCATTGAGCGTGGTTTTTTTGATGCTCGTTTGTCGTCCGTTTCTTTTCAGAACCTTATAAGCATTGAACGACCATGGTGCTTCTACGCAAAATGCAAACGACATACATATTTGCCAAAGAAACAGCTGATACCAATCAACATTTTCTGACAAACATGAACTGAATAACCCGTCCCATTAAGCAAATGCTCTGCAAGTAAACATCCCTAACCAACATCTCGTGAACCACTCATGAAATTCGCATGCCACCCAAGAACTGTACTGGGTACCTAACCGATATGTAATCACCCGATGAAAATATGGCTGAGGCGAATTCTTCATATTGGTGAAATTACTTGAACTAGTAATATCAAAATGAATATTATGATTAATCTAACTGAGCGACCTATTAAAGTAAACGTGGTAGCATTCGTAAGTATTTGACCTTGCTTGTGAGCTGCCACACCTCAAGTAATGCTGAGAATAAATACTTTGATTATTATTATCCAGTTCACGCCATCAAATGCTTTCTCGTAGTCCATGAACATGATGTACAGCAGTGATATCGATTCACCTGATTGTTCAAAAATGTTCAGTAGCGTAGCTACTGGGTTGGCGAATGATCGATCATTACGGAATCCAAACTCTAGATCTTGAAATTGGGTATCTACGGAACCTTGTGCTCGGTCTAAAAACACTCTGTTGAAGAACTTCCCTTGTCCAGTAGATTTATGTCTCTGTAGTTCTTGCAACTGCTGAGATCTTTTACCGATATCTTGATGTGTCTTTCTTTCCACTCTGCTGGTACTTGTTCTTCCTCCTAAATCTTGCTGAACAAAGCGTGAAACATCTTTGCAGAAACTGTTAAGTCTGCTTCCGTTGCATCTGCTGGAACGTTGCCTGGTCCTGTAGCCTTGCTAGTCTTTAATTGTCTGATAGCCATGCCGATATTTTCTATAGGCCATTAGTCAACATTATTTGGGTGGTTATTACATGCTGCTTCCTTGTTTGGTGGGTCGGGTGTGTTGAGAGAGGTTATTGATATGCTTGAGCTATTACGATTTCACCTTAATCGGTGAACGGAACGAAGATCAATGACTCACTGATACGATAGGCTATTCTAATCCGATCGTCCCAGGCCCAACTAACTAGAGGAAGAAGTCTTGATAAGACATAGAGAAATGCATTCCACAGGCACCCAGAAAGTAAGAAGTCAACAAGCACACAATTCAAATTTTTTAGACAATGATAGCAACGCCCTTAGTGATAGCCACAAAAGAGTGCACTAAAATAATCCATCAACCAATGACGGTCGAGGATTTTCCGAGTTGGAAATATAAGCTGAAGGTCAACTAAGCATCTTATGCGCGAAAACAAAAAATCAAAATTTCAGCAATAAATTACAAAATTAGGGCCTTTTCCAAATGAGTTCCAGGGATCTAACGTCCCAAAAGGTTAATCGCTTCAAGGGTTCATCAGAGTTCTATATCCACCTATTTTACTGTTCTTCAGTGTTTGTGATTGCTTTGCATTCCTTGCTTTTCACTGGTCATTCTGGTTTGTCATGTTTTCCAGCCAGCTACGTAGTTGCATCATGTAGTGGTCTCATGTTTCCTTCTCTTACAGCTTTTCCTGCCATCACTGCTAGATCTTCTACACATATTCGCTTTTCAGTTCTGATAATCCTCCTCACTCGCTTCTGTGTATTCATCTGCAACCTTTATTTTCTTTGCTCTTATTCGAATGCAATTGAGTGCTGCCTTCCTGTTCCTCCTTCCTTAAATCTTATCCAGAGTATCCACAGAGATTCATTGCCTCTTTGATCGCTTTGTGACTGTTTTCCATGGTAGTTGCGCTTTCATACAGTAGACCATGAAAGGCTTTTATCATAATATCTGCCCCCTTGTCCGATGCTTCAACTTCATCTAGGCCACAACGAAGTGATGATCCGAAGCTATACAAGCTCCTCTCTGGATTCATACGTCTTCCTTGTTCCTTATGAACTAGTTATTGATGCAGATGTTATTAATTTGGTTCTTTATAGTGTGATCCAGTGAAACCCATGTAGCACTTTGCATTTGCTTGTGTGGTCATATTGTGCCACCTAGAACAATTTTGTTTAAGGCACACAAATTTGCTAATCTCTAACCGTCTTCTTTTCTTTCTGCCAGTCCATGTCTTCCCATGACGCATTCATTGTGGTATTATTCATTCTGTCCATGGAGTTTAGGTACCCCATCAAAATGGTCAAATTCTTTGTTGAGCATTTCTCGATGAGCGAATGCAGCCTCTAGAGGGGTTGATATTTAACGTCTTCATTGTTATCGTTCGTAGACGAACAGCACTGGATGGCGTTCATTGTGATCCTCTCTTTTCTTGTCCTGAAGAAGGCTTTGAGGATCCTATGTTCATGAGATCCTCATTCTACAACTGCATTTTGTACTTCGTTGGACAGAACTAGTGCAGCTCCTTATGCATGGGGCATTCCCTTCTTCTTGGACGGAGTATAACACCATTTCTCATGATGCTAGTCTTCGTTGTCCGACCTGCGTTCAATGTGTTTCGTTGATTCCAGGTACCACCAGGTTGCATCTTTACATATCCGCAGCAACTCAAATAGTCCTTTCTTTCTCTCATACTGTGCGTATATTTGTTGTTTCTCTGGTTGTGAGGATGGGTATCGGCCTCTTGTCTTCCGAAGAAATTCTGTTGTTGCGTTAGACCAACGGTAAACACAGCCGAAAAGTAAGGAGACTAAATCTGAGGGTTTCAGGATTATTCACATTGGATCGTACAGTTTGTTTAATTGTGGCACATCATGTGAAAGTGATTCGTCATATATGAGGCATCCTTCTTTTCATCCTTGTAGCCCATCACTTCGAAGCTGACAGCAGTTTTTGAGATATACCTAAATCAGGAATATTACTGATGATCCGTGGACTAGATAGCAATATAAGTGATGGTTGATAAGAGATCCAAGTATGACTAAATCTGTCCTCTTATTACAGACCGAGCAATCATTCATAAGACAGATGCTAAACAAATGTCTCGTTGAGGTAAAATAATTGAGAGTATCTCGAGTAAAGGAGTTACTACAGCCTTCATCGGTGTGATACGAGACTAAACTCACGGAAACTTTTACGCTTTTTGTTTGTGACGGGTTAAATAGGGTCATATCAGGTTGGTTACTGGAGTTACTTAAAAGGGTTGTTAGCATAGAGGGATGGGTAAGAATGTTGCCTGTTTTAAGTTGTGTCAAAGGAGTTGACGTATATTCTGCATGTGTTGTGAAATAACGAGCTATATTCGTCGTCAGAGGTAGCGCAAGGTGTTGTAGTTGAAAAGGATCTTCAGAAGGTTGATTGTACAGCGCACAAACTGTTTTTAGTATGGTCTTGATGGTACTATTTATGGCTGTGGTTGTATTTTTTGAATTAGTGTTACCTTAGAGAGGATTTCCCGTATCTCACTGCCAACCGTCATGACCGCTTCTAAATTTGGGTCATTTTTGCCGGCTGGAATGGTAAGATAGGATGTTTTGAGTTTCACATTAAAGGTCGTTGTAATTATAAGAGTTAGGTGTGCGGCGTTAAAAATCTTTTACTTCCACATTTGTTGTTAACTCTAGGCTTTGGTAGTTGTACGGTATATCTTGTGCTTTGTAAATTACTTCTAGTATACATGTCTTGGTGTTTTTTCTACTTGTTTACATTACCCTTCTTGAAACTTTTAAAGTCAAGGGGCACATTAAACGATGTAGAAAGAGTAAACCTACTCATGGTAGCCAGGAGCGCCGTAGAAATTTTGCTTTGAAAACTATCTCTCTTTTCATTCGCGACTAGTCTGTTTACTCTTCCTTGCTATGACTGGAGAGCATCTTGCTGTCCGAGACATGTTCCATGAAGTGAATCCAGGTTCGAACGGGTCATTTCTTGTAAGATATTTTGGAGGACTAGTCTTTACTTGATTAAGTCTAACCGGTTGTGGGGTTAAATTACTGTTCAAACAGTCTGGGTTAGAAATTTAGTTGTCGTTATATTATCCAGTATCAGTCGGAATTCGTACTGTACCCAAAGACTTAGAACCTATGGACTCATCTAGAATCACAGGGTGAATTTTATTCTGCATATTCATATCATGTTTGTGATCGATGTGTTCACTATTCCGAAAGGGTTAAAACTTGTGTTTATTTGATTGGTCCCTGTAATACGACTATGAGATCTCGTCATTTTTATCTTCCCTTATACGATGATGACTAGTTATTAGATCTGAAGAGAATTGGGTGTCTCTAAATGGGATTTGCGAGCTAATTATTCAACTCAAATGAATAAACAGTTTCGCGTCATTACTGCAGACAGATTAGGCAGGAGGAAGTGTGTGGATTTATCCAGTTTTTTCGGAGACTGGCGAATTGACAGTTGACATTTAACAGACCACATGCTAATAGGCCGATTTCCTTCAACTTAACAAGGGATGTATTGTCAAAGAGATGATATTAGATAGCACTATAGAAAGACATAATTCATTCCGTTATTTCTTCGGCTACAAACTCTATGGTGTGTTGTGTTTTAGTTGACTCCTCTAGGTTTTCATTATTATCCGAAGCCAAAATGTGCATGAAGGCAGCTAACTGTCCAAGTTTTTCTTTAATTTTAGTATTTATTCACTGCTACATATTGATTCTTGCAAAAATGCACTGGGAATGATCTCTTGATCATCTTAACCGGCTTTCATACTCACTAGCGGTTATTTTTCGGCATTCAGATACAAGGATGAGGAAATATGTGCTTACATTAGCTTATCAGTCACAGATTGGATGTTTGGTCCTGATGTGTTTTACACATTCAACTTTGTTTACCGACACCAACGTCCTTCGAAGCTTGGTAACTACATTTAAAATGGTTAAGATTGTGGTCAAGAAGGGGGATCAAGCTTTTTTTATGATCGACCGTCCTCCGAGCACTCCTATTGAGGAATTAATAAACGAAATTTGCGAAATATACAATGGAATTCTTAAAATTCATCGGATATGTGGAGAAATGGATGAATTATCAAAACATGGTGTTACGTTGCCACCAAATATGCAAGTAATCGCGTCGATAAGTTCTATATTCTTCAGGGTCTTACAGATGAACAAGTTTGTGACTTAAAACTTGAAGATGAATGGGGAAAAAAGTGCATTCCTAGCGGCGGTTATATTGAATGCAAGGATGAAATAGGTAGAAGAAATGGTGTCGGTAAGCTATTTCTACATCGAAATAACTTTCACATAAACAGCACCAACTGAAAAAATGGTCGAAGTACTAAAGAGGACAATCGATGAATCAAAACGTCTTATATCTCGCGACCTAGTCAAGCAAGATATCACCTTAGAGAAAAGTGTTGTTCGAGAAGCATTGATGATGCTAAGTGGCGCAGTCACTATCGTTTATCCTATGGGTCTTCCACCATATGATCCTATCAAAATGGAGTTTGATAATGAAGAAGATTTAAGTGGAACACAAGTAAGTACCTAGTACCGAAGGACTATTTGACTAACTATCAACACGGATCAGTGTGCATAGTAGGTTTAATAATATTATTTAGTGTGTCTTTGAAGATTTAGTCTCCTCAAGCTAATAATGCACGATAAGTAACTTCTTACATGTCTTTCACGTGATAGCTATATCGCTTTTAACGATATTGACTTTTGGTCTCCACTTTACAAGTTATTTTCTTAACTATTTATAACTTGTGATTTCGGTTCAAGGAGTTAAACGTTTGTTCTAATCAGGTCACTATTCCAACATAACATCCCGATGTAAGGACTTGGTAATAATTCCACTTGTGTGATTTTTATTACGGAAATATTTAGTTGAACTACTTAAAAACACTTCTCACAGACTATATTTTGACTTTAGTTATATCTAATTTCATGCTATTAAGTTGAGCTTCATTTTAATGGGATGAAGATAAATTGTAGCATCATTTAAATTTCATTGTCTATTGCAAGAATATAATGAACCCTGGTAAATGCATGCGTTTCAAAGGTTCAACTTAATGACAGTATTGCATCATACACGTAAACTTCTTGAAGTATAAACATTTCAATAACTACCAGAATTACGTAGTCTTAGATATCTCATTTATTTATTTATTTAAAAACTTGATTATTGTCACATACTAGCCTCGAAATATTTAGGCACTATACAAATTGTGGAATTTGTTAGTCGGTCAGTTACAACATAGAACTTTAAGTTGCCATACCACATTATCGCAGAGATGAAATTATCAATTCGAATCCCAAAGTGGTAGAATGTAGTAGAAGTATTAACAGTAATCGGAGAGATTAGGGTTTGAAGATATTATTCAAGAAGTATAAACCAGTAAAATAAATTTGAGAATAGAAAGATTGAAGGTGATGAGGAATTCAAAAGATTAGAATTTGACTGAAGAAGAACGGATGCTTCTGCACTATTGCAAATGATTTTGAGCCATTTTATTCAAAGTTGAATTTGTTTATGGACTGAGATACCATCTGACAAATATTTTACTTGGAATGGACCACCCACTGAGCCCTTAAACTACAGACATTGGAACAACGTTAAAGAATGCAGTCCCATGGTATCCTTATCTTCTGGATTCGTCAGCACCTCTACCTTTGTCTTTCTACCCTTATCTCATTGAATTATTATACTTCTTGAATAATATCTTCAAACCCTAGTCTTCTTCACTACCAATAATACCCCTACTATCTTTATCACTATGAGATTTGATTTGACATTTGCGTCTCTGTGCTAATGTGGTATGGCAATCTGAACTTATGTACATACGTACGAAGTTCTACATTGCAACTGACTGACTGACCGATGACTAACAATAAATTTATGCGCCATTCTTTCCATCTGAATCCTGGGGTCTGTGTGCACCATTAGTTTGGAAAGAGGCTTTTACAACTCCCCTAGTTGGACTGTTGGACTGGATATCCTGGTTACTGTGCCGAATGTTTGCTTTTCGCCCTCTCAATTTCATGAACAACAACTTTGCCACGCAAAAAAATAGTGAGTAGAAGTTCTCTGACAGCAGCCATATACACATGGTCATGTAAGAACATTGGAAGAAGAAAAAAGGGAGGTTCCCCCTCCACTCATATCCGTACCAGAGCATTTAGGGACAGTCTTGGAACAATTCCCAAAATATAGCTCTCTTTTCACATTTGTGTTTCAAGTGAGCAACTATGTATTATCAATACCCCTTGCTAAATTCATGGCTGAAGACTGAGCAAATAAGCCTATACTCTTTAGATAAGTTAGATTATGCTGCTAAATGAAGTCAGTCAGTCGGTCAGTTGCAACGTAGAACTACGTACGTATGTACATAAGTTCTTGTTGCCATACAATATTAGCACAGAGACGCAAGTGTCAAATCAAATCCCATAGTGATAAAGATAGTAAAGGTAATAATGGTAATGAAGAAGACTAGGGTTTGAAGATATTATTCAAGAAGTATAATTCAGTGAGTGAGATAAGGTTAGAAAGACAAAGGTAGAGGTGCTGACGAATCCAGAAGATTAGGATTTGAGAGAGCTCAACGAATGGATGCACTTGCGCCATTGCAAACGATTTTAAGCCATGTCGTTCAAGGTCTCTAACCATTGGTGACTTTCGTCTCGCGGACCCCAACCAGGTAGTCTACATCTACCAACATGACTCAGTCCACTTGTCAGTGACTTCATGGATTTGTGCCATGTTTTGGTCTGGCCGCCCCTAACTTTCTTCCAACCTACTCCTACACCACAAAACATAGCTCGTCGAGGCAGTCGGTGGTTAAGCATTCGTAACACATGTCCCAACCACCTCAACTGTTCAAGTGTCATTACTTCATCTATTGACCTGCCATCTTTACCCAGCACCTGTTTCCTAACAACAGCATTGCTTACTCGGCCTCGGCTGTCCCACGGTATACGAGCAATGCTTCTAAAGACATCTATGATCGAATACTAGTAACGTACGAACATCTACTCTTAATGGCCATGTTTCGCATCCATATAGGAGAACGGAGCGAACTACTGCACAGTACACTCATCCTTTAGTCAACAAACGGATATCTCACCTCCGCCATAAGTGACTCAAGTTGGCAAAAGCAAATCGAGCTTTCTGTATCCGCGTTGAGATTTTGTCAGTCACCAGGCTATCAGCGCTAGTGAGACTCCCTAGATAAGTGAAGTGATCAACACACTCGACTATTTCACTCCCTATCACTAGTTCAGGTGCCAATGCAACCCAATCTTGAAGTAACATTTTACATTTCGAGGTTGAGAACCGCAGCTAAATTGAAGTACTTGTTTACAGCCAATAATCCATTTTCTTTTTTTGCACTAGGCATCTCAAGAAGTAATCACAGCCAACGATGCAAGTTTATGGTTTTCCGGTAAAGAAATGCATCGTGGTAAATTACTCGCCGATTATATTGGTCATAATGATAAAACGAAAATTATTGCCAAATTATCAAAACACGGTGTTGGCGCACCAGCACGTGAACCAATTATCAATGATGAACAACAACGTGCTATGATGGCTTATTATTATAAAAGACAAGAAGAATGGAAAAAACTCGAGGCGGATGATGACGACTCCTATTTGAATTCAGCATGGGCTGAACCGAATCAATTGAAACGACAATTTCATGGTTTAACTAATATTAAATGGGGTCCAAAATAGAAAGAAGTAAGTGTATGAAAGAAAGAGGAGGAGGAGGAGGAGCAAGAGAACATGAATGGATAATAATTCAACAGATTAATAGTTCAATAATAGTAATCGTCGTTCAGTTTTGTTTTAACTGACGAACTGTATTTTTTGTTTGTTTGTGACATGTAAATACTTACTTTTAAGAATTTATTGACTGATTGATTGATTGTTGAATATTAATTAATTCAAAATCTAATTTTGTGATGTGATTTATCATTGAATTGAATGGTATTATTACTGTTGTGGTGCGCGCTACTTATAAGTAGTATATGACGCGAGTAAAGAAACGTAATGTCTGGCAGCAGAAGATGGGGGGGGGGGAAGATCAAGAGAAAGGAAGAAGAGTGGGAACACAATGGAATTTGTATGAAACGCATGAATAGTGAGTGAAATGTCAGACAATGGATTGATGATGGATTGAAGATTTGCAAAATAACCGTTTACGATATGGTTTTCCTATTTTATACTGAGTAACTAACTTTGTAATTTGCGATAAATACAATTCGGTTGCCCTCACCTGTTGTGGTCTCCTTCACTACACTATGTTTAATGTAGGGAGGCAGTTAGTCAGTCATTCGTAGAATCGAATTTCAACTGGTTATCTTTAGAGATTGTTTTAGATCAATGATAAAAGTTATATATCGTATTATGTTATCATCATATCACTCACTAGATGATATGAGTCCGTTAGTCAGTCAGTCAGTCAGTCAACGATAACGTTGAACTTTGTACGTACGTACATACATCAGTTCAAGTTGTCATGCCATGATAGCATCGAAATGCACTTGTCGATTTAAATGTTATAGTAGTGGTAAAGGTAGTGGAAGTATTACCAATAATGATAAAGATGATGGTTTGAAGATATCAATCGAGAAGTATAAACTAATGAAATAAATTTTAGAAGAGAAAGACAAAGGTGATTATGAATTTAAAAGATTAGGATTTGAGAGTAGACAAAGAATTGATGCACCTACGCCATTTTAAACGATTTTTAGCCATGTTGTTATTCAAGGTTTCTGACAATTGATTACTATCGTCTCGTAGGCCCCAACCAGGTAGTTGACATCTACCCACATGGCTCAGTCCAATTGTCAGTGACTTTATGTTCTTGTCTGGTTGCCCCTAACTTTCTTCCAACCTATTCCTACATTACGAAATAAAGCTCGACGAGGCAGTCGGTGGTTGGGCATACGCAACACATGTCTCAACCATCTCAACTGATGAAGTTTCACTACTTCATCAATTGATTTGCCATCCTTAATTAGTAACCGTCTGCCAACACCAGGATTGCTTACTCAGTGGTCCCAGGGTTTATGAGTAATGGTCCTACGACACCTATAGTCGAACTAGTTGGTATCACTGAATGTTTGATGCCAAACGGTTCAGTCAGTCAGTCAGTCAGAGAGGTATGTTTGGGTGTAGAAAGGATTTGATTTCGACCAATTTGGTCCTGTGTGCTGTAACTGGTATGAGGGCGGTTGTCACTTCCTGGCTGCCCACACCGTGAAAGTTGTTTCTTGAGGGACCTGAAAAGGAAGATAGATTAGTGTTGGTCTTAGAGACCTGGGTGCGTGACCGCAGAGTCCAAGGAACAATTGTTTGAGGCCGGTCACTCACGGCCTTTGTATAAAAGGTTTTCTGAGTATTAGCTCCGCTCTTCAAATGACCTTGGTGGGCACCCTTACAGCCGGAGCAGAAATCCGTGAGGTAAGGTGAGGTGTGACATTTTTAGGGCCGACCGTTTCTAACCCTTCCTTCCTTGTGAGAAGGCAGCATCGCTGTAGATGCTGGTTGTCCGAGGAAAACACTTTACTGCTGTCACACCTCTCTGCAGTCAGCAGTACGACTTCGCCCTCAGACCTTGAGTAGCAGCTGTTTTTGGTCTCATCGTTTTCCAATCAACCTGCCTGGTATGGTAGAACCTTCAGGAACATATGTTCCAGCCAGTATAGCTCGGTTGGGTCATGACGATAGTCAAGTCCGACCACCACGTCAAGGTAGCGGCTACGGTCGGGATGCCAAACGGTTACGTAATCACACCTTGTTAAGCGTGTAACACAGTAGGTTTCTCTGCTGTCATCATACTTTTAATGACAGCTAAGTGTCAAGTTGTATAGTATAAGTTTCTGCCGTAAATCAGTGTCATTATTTTGTTAGTCCTGATCAGTTAGTTACCCGACTACAGCTGCTACCTTGACGTGGTGGCCGGGCTCCTATTGTGATGACCTAAGGGACAGATAAAGAGTGAATGCCTTTATTTCATTTTTATTGATGCGTAGCAACGCTAATAACTCGTGATTACAACAATCTTTCGAGCCGCAACCAGGTAATCTGTGCCTACAAACGCAGCCCAGACTAAGTGGTCAGTACATTGGTTGGTTAATGCTCCATCTTAGCCTGATCGCTTTCTCCCAACCTAATTCTATATCAGTTAAGGTCGTCTGTTCAAGTACAACACATCTCAATCACCTCACTCGATAAATATTCTCAAATGATTTCCTCACTACAGTATGAATAACCCTAAGATTAGTTACCCGATAGTTCCATGAGTGGTGCGTCGAAAATATACGATTAAAATCCTTAAGTTTACGTATATCTTATACTTTTCTAGGCCATGTTTGACAGCTATTGTCAGTCAGTCAGTTGCAACGTAGAACTTCGTACGTAAGTACATCAGTTCATGTCGCCATACCACATCAGCACAGAGATATAATTGTCAATTCAAATCCAATAGTAGAAGAGCA